TACATTTTTTCTGCACTGAAAATTCTCCTCTTTATTTGTGACAAACAAATTTGCTGTGGCAATATCTTCCATAAATCCCAGTGGAAACGAACCTGCTCAGGCTAGTGAGGAAAAGCCACAAGATATCTAGAGATCTGTTAATTTGTTTGTTTCTCCTTCCTCCCTTTGTTGCCTGAGCTAATTTTACTTCTGTGTGTCTACCAGGATCTCTGCATGCCTGCCATTTGGCAAACTTTGCATTCTGAAGTTAGCAGGCAGGACATCTGCCAAGTAGCATCCAGTCGCACAATGACAGCAGATAATGTGCTTTGAATTTTCTTTCTGCACAGAGGTTAGTGAACTTGCCCACTTCACTTGCCCATTTTCTCACTATCCTGCACCTCACAGATAAGTCCTTGGCTGTTTTCTACTGACAGTTCTGCTGATATAAGAAACTTCTTCTACATTTGATGTAAATTAAGGCACCTGAATTGTCACACAAAAGCTGCCGCTAAACACTGGAAGAACTGGTGATGCTCTGCCCTCTCCCTCAGAGCCATTAAAGCTCTCTCATCACATGCTCACTTCATGCTTCCCCACTGAAATGCGAAACTCTCAGCACTGAGGAGTGCCTGGGTGTCAGGAGCTCTTTAGTCAACATGAGTGTTGGAAGGAGTGAATGTTACTCTCTGGATCATCCAGAGTACACTAATGGCTTCAGTTGATCTCTACAGGGTTGCATTTAAGAGCAGCTATGCCAATTGCTTTGAATAGGTGTTTGAAATGAGGTGTCTACAGAGGGATTTCTTATGTCAGCACAGAGGCACAAGCTGGGCGATGGGCTTTTGAGTGTATCAAGGGGCAACAGGGTGCAGCTGCAGTGTGCAGCTGCAGTCAGGTTTCAGGGAGTCTTTTTTTCACTGAAAGGAGTGTGAGGCACTGGCACAGGCTGCCCAGAGAGACTGCGGGTACTCCATCCCTGGAGGCTCAAGGCCAGGTTGGATGGGGCCCTGGACAGCCTGAGCTGGTGGGTGGCAGCTCTGCCCACGGTAAGTGGTAAGGTTGAGTGGGCTTTGAGGTCCCTTCAAACCCAACCAGTCTGTGATTCTCTGATTTTATGATTCTATGATTCTTGGCCATGAGAGGCACAGACAAGCAGAAGCCCTGGTATACCTTAGAGGGAACAGCATTGCCAAAAACTTCTCACACCTCGTTTAGTGCAACTCAGGCTCCTTGGCAGAAAGCAGCATAGCAAGACTCTGAGCACAGCCCAAACCCAGACAGCCATATCTCTAGACCAACATCCTTGTTGTCATCACATGAGATGTAATGTTGATATAATTAAAGACCTATCACTTCCTGCTCTGTGCAGAGTTCATCCCTCACCTTACTTCTGGATTACAGCTGCTGGGGCATTTTGCATTACAGGTATCTGTTTGTAAAAAGCTCTGCATTTCCTGCACAGCCCATTGAAATTTCAGTATCTAGTGGGGGGCTCTATGAAAGAAGGGGAGAGACTCTTTAGCCTGGTGTGTTGTAAAAAGACAAGGGGAAATCGAAAGGATCATGGCCAGCAGGTTGAGGCAAGTGATCCTGCCCCTCTACTCCACACTAGTGAGGTCTCACCTGGAGTACTGCATCCAGATGTGGAGTCCTCAGTACAGGAGAGAGATAGACCTGTTGGAGTGCATCCAGAGAAGGGTCACAAATCTAATCCATGGAGTGGAACACCTCTCCTACAAGGACAGGCTGAGAGAACCAGGGCTTTTCACCCTGGAGAAGGGAAGGCTCCAAGGTGACCTGATAATGGTCTTTCAGTATCTAGGAGAGCTACAGGAAAGAAGGATAGAAATTCTTTTGTGGGGTCTGTGGTGACTGAACAATGGGAAATGGTTTCAAACTTTAAGAGATTTAGGTTAGATATGAGGAAAAAATCTTTTAAGATGTGAGCAGCGAGGCGCTAGGATACATTGCCCAGTGATATGGTTGTTGCCCCATCCCTGGAGACTTTCAAAGCCAGGCTGGATAAGGCCCTGAGCAACCTGATCTAGCTGTGGATGTCCCTGCTCATTGCAGGAGAGTTGGACTAGATGACCTTCAGAGGTCCCTTCCAACTGTAAGGATTCTGTGATTCTGTGAGATGGTTTCAAACTGAAAGAGGGAAGATTTAGATTGGATATAAGGAAGAAGTCTTTTACAGCAAGGGTAGAGAGGTGATGGAACAGGTTACCCAGAGAGGTGGTGGGCACCCCATCCCTGGGGACATCCAAGGTCAGGCTGGAGGGGCTCTGAACACCCTGATCGAGCTGTGGGTGTCCCTGTTCATTGCAGGGGAGTTGGACCAGATGGCCTTTAAGGGGCCCTTCCAACTCAAACAATTCTATGATGAACTGCAAATTACTTTGAACAAAAAAACAATCAAAGCCAACAGTCAAGAAAGTTGTTCTCAGGCCTTTGTATCTGCAGTACAGGGGATCCTCAGTGCCATCACTGAGGATCATCTCCACAGTGCTCTTCTGTTCCAGTTATTCCTGCAGCATGCTCCACTGAGTGCAGCCGTCATAATAAGCATATAGACCAAAACAGAGGCATCTCTGTTCTGTGGCATAGAAAACTGTCTGGACAGCTTTCTCATGAAAGGAGATTTCCATGTACTGTTTTTCTCTCAGCCTTATTAATCACAGAGACATTTATAAACAAAATATGGATCTGCAGCAGAACGTAGGCGAAAAGTTCATTCTGACAGGAGAAAGCACAGCTCAGCTGTGCTCATCAAACTGTTATTTTTCCATGTGCCGTCCAGCTTCCTCTGTTGCATTTGTTATAACAATGTTATCAAACGTTGACAAACACCCAGGAAATTCAGTGCACCACACTGTCATTTTAAAGCACCTGTCCTAAGGTGCTAACATGTGCTCGTTGCACAGAATCAGAAGCTTTCACAGCACTACAACATCAATAAGGATTCTGTTAATGTTAAAACCAGTGGGAAGATGAAGTAGGAAGGCTGGTGAGAGACATGGGTGGAGGAGGGGACTGTACTTCTCTCTCCTTTTTGTTATTACTCTACTCGAGATTTCATGGGTAGGCTACAGCAGAAGACAGGGCATGGAGAACTCATCTGTCCTGTGGGCACAGCATAGAATCATAGAATCCTGTGAGTTGGAAGGGATCCTTAAACACCATCTGGTCTATTTCCCTAGCAGTGAATGGGGACACCTTCAGCTAGATCCGGGTGCTCAGAGCTGTTCCAGCCTGACCTCGAGTGTCTCCAAGGACGCATCTTCTACCTCAGCAAAACTGCCCTCCTTGTATCCAAGGATTCCATCAATGTGGGAAGGGCCACGGTTCTCTGTGCTGTTGTTTTACTGGGAAGAAAACAACTTCCACTGTGGGAGGGTACAAAAATGCAGTCTGACTCCTGTGCCTTCCAGCTGCTGGTAGGAACAGGTACCTGCAAGTAGCACTGCCTCTGTTCCCCAGAACAAAATGACACTGGGTCTTGCAGATCCCAGCTCACAAGGCAGTGCATAACATGGCACCAGTCTAGTTATCATGGATGCCATGAAACCTTTGCTGCCTAGTAATTTTGGTGTTATTAGGTGCTGCCTGTATAATGGGAAACCATGATTTTACTGCGGTCCTTATGTGCTGTCGTAATTAGCACAGAGTCCTTTAATGCTAGTTACTTGAAGTATTAATTCCTTAACCGTCAATTAAAAAATCACGTGCAAATTTACCTCTTCCTCAAAAGAGTTATGTCTTAACGTGGGGGTACTTACAACATACTACTTAGACTTGCTTAATTAGTCAATCTCTGTAAAGGGCTTTCAAACGTGTGAAAGAGCCATCGAACTGCTATGTGCGTTATCTTCAATTAATTTTGTGCAGCTACATCTTCGCTACCAAGAGTATCTTTAGAGTGCCAAGGAAAGGGAGGCAGTACTTACAATTTTGAAAGTAACTGGTCAGAAAGAACTAATTGAAAGATGATCTGATGCTGTGGGAATAGGGATGAACATACAATTTTTCTGTTTCAGCCAGACCTGAGTATAAAATAATAATCATTCTTATCCCTCTTCTGTTTTGACAGTTGTTTTTTTTTAATCCTCTTTGCTTCCATCTTTGCTTTGGGTTTTGACCCTCTCTCATCAAATGTTAACTCCCTGTCTTCCATATTTGACATTAGTTTAGTTAAAAAGAAAAAGGAAAAAATAAAAAGAGTGGATCAAAAGAAAACACTTCAACCTGTGGAGTCACTGAAGTTACACACCCATTAGTGAGGTAGCTTGTTCCAAACCAAGCCACGTGGACATCACTTTAAAGGTAAGATGCTAACGGCCTGGAACAGAGCCCCTGCATCAGAACAGGGCCACGTCCAGCCCAGGGAGTCGTGTGCTCTCTCTCCATTTCCTGAACCACTCTGGTAGCCAATGGAGATTAGCTCTTAATGTGCCTTTCAAAGATTTCTATTCTATTGAGAGCTTATATGCTATGTTAATTATTCTCATTTTACTTTAGCCATTAATAATCTGCTTTTGGTAGGGCTCTCTCAAACCTTTGACAATAGGTCCTTTCTGCTAATACCCTGCCTAGTGGCAGCTTAATTTTGGCCAGCAACATTGAATTGGGCACCAGAAACCTGTTTCCTGGATTTTTTTTTTTCTCCCACTGGGACTAACAAAAGATAAGAACATTTTTCTTGCCGAGTCTGATTTGTTTTTAGAATTTTTCACTTGCCTTTTATTTCTTTCCCAAGAATGATAAATCACCACTTCCTTGCTGACTGCTGAGGTCCCACATGTTGTGAAAAAATCAGGCAGCTTGTTTAATATAAACTTGCGTGAGCAGTGGTTATGTGGCAGTGTCTCTGTCACGGTTTGGATCATTTTTAACATTCGTTTGCAATATATTTGTATCACATCTTGGCATTCACTCAGCCATGATTTGAAATCCTATTCATTTACCTTAATTCATCTAAAAGAAACTGGAACAGAGAACAGACTATTCAATGGCCGCAACTTTATTCTCTGCATACTGTAAAGTAACAGCTCAATGATTTGCATGAGGCATTCCACTGGCAAGTCAGAGCCGTGTACTCAGTGATCCAGAACACCCCACCTTCTCAGGGACAGAACTTCTGGCACCAAACCTGAAAAACCTCTTCTTCCCAGCCCCTCCCCAGTGCAGTTTTAGAAAGGAACCAGTAAGGCTTGCCCACTGTTATTCAATCCAGAGGATATTCATTTAGCTGAAGGGCTTGATCTGCTCTATAACCAGGACATCTACAAGGATGCACAGGTACCTTGGAAAGCAGCTTGAAAATGAGACAGATTGCTGCAATAGGGTGCAGACAGAAGTGCAGGACAGCAGGACTGTCTGTAGTGCTTCCACAGACTGTCTTCTACTGTCTGTAGAAGCACTGAAATTAGCTTCTCACCCTCCCATATCTTCATCACCAGGTTGTTTGTACAAAAACTTACAGGATTTTGCCCCTTCACCTGGTATCCACAGAGTCTAAGCCCACAGAAAGTGCTAGAGGTGGAAGCCAAAAAATATTTAGAAAAGTCATGGTTGCCTTGTGCCTCAGCCTGAGGACTTTTCGTCCCTATCTAAAAGAAATGTGATTACCAGTCATCATTTTATTCACCTGGGCACTTGTCCTACCTCTGAAAGAAAGGTGAAACAGAGCTTGAATGGACTATAAATGCAACCAGATCCAAAATAAAAGGGGTAGGTTCTACCCAGATACCAAAGCCTGATTTCTCTGAGGTGCCATTTCCACTGAACGAACCCAACTGCAGGAAGTTATCAATACTTAAACAAACGAATGATGGGCAGGGAGGATCCAGCAAGATTTCAACCAACAGTCCAGGATTCTTGCTCCCCTCTCAGTCATGAACATGCAAAACAGGGAAACAAAATCCTTCAGAGGGTTCTCTTTCTTACCAGCGTCTCGGAAGATCAATTGCCAATAAATTAAGACAAAACCAAAACCACCAAATGTCTTGGGGACAAGGGAAGATGCACTCCTTCTCTGTCCCTGTCATGTCAGACGAGCAGCTCTGATATGAACCTCTGGGGCACAAATGCAGCCTCACAGTAGCACCGGTGTGACGTAGTTGGCAGGGAAGAGACCCAGTTCCCCACGCAGACGTCCCTTCCACCATGATGGGTTGGAGCTGTCTAGGACTTCTACGATGTCTCCGCTGCGAAAGCCCAGCTCATCATGTTCCACAGCATCAAAGTCGTACAAGGCACGGACCCATAGTATTCGCTGAGAAGGAGACAGAGATGAGCAGGAAACCATGAGTTACATGCTTGATCCAGATCCTTCAGTGAGCTCATGCCTTCTCACAGTGCCCCAGACCCCTACTGTGGTGGGCTGATGCTAAGTTCCTTCTTCTGATAGGTCGGTTAACTAAGAATGATTTTGAGTACAGTTGTAGAACTATGCTAATGTAACACTCTAGTCCTACCTTCAAAGAGCCACAGGATGAGATTCAAGTGGCCACAATAGAGCCTTGAGACTCAGAAATGTCTTCTAAGATACGTCCCAACACGTTCAATACACTGTTTCAAGTGCGACCTCTGTGCAGATGGCATTGCCCAAACTGCTTGGCCATCACTAAGAGAAGCATTAGGTTGGGTAGGTGCGGCCCTGCAAGCACGTTACCCACCGGTGTCTGCTGGTGCAGTGGGTCCGTGTGTCTGCGTTGCATAGCTGCTGCACTTCCTTGGCTATGATATCTTAGTCCATGCAGTGCATCTTTCCTGTCCAGGCTCCCCCCGTACCTATCCTAGAAGGAAAACAGCAAGAGAGATGTCACAAACATTTAAACGATTACGAGTGAGGGGTTTTAAGAGTCATTGGTGGTCAAGGAGTCAGGGTCCAACCCTCCTGTAAATGATCTTAGATGTCTGCTTCCAGTACAGTCGCTGGGCTGCAGTCCTGGAAGCAATTCCTGTCATGGAAGAGGTCACCTTAGGTTCTTCTATTTTGGATTTTTCTCCATAGAAGTTGAAATTTGGCTGCCCTCAGCTACGTTCCACATCTGCTGGAAAGAAGCTTCAGTGTCTTTTTTTGGCCTCTGGAAGCTTTGGAAAAAAGCTTAGCCTGTTCTAAGTCACAGGTGAAAAGCCAGCTTGCCAAGGGGACACTTTGCCTATCTGGAGTTACTGAGACTCAGTCTCTCTACTTCCCTTTTCCTGCTCCATGCTGTACAGAGCAGAGAACAGGCCTAAGAACCCAGTAGCCCCATTAGTGAAAGAGGAAAAAAAAAACCAAATCAAAAAGAGGAAAAAAAAACATTCAAAGAAAAGATGCCAAATGGCCGCACATCTGAAATCCTACCAATGGAAAGCTTTGAGGAAGCAAGTTCTCTTCTGTCTGCACAGTCAAGAGGTGCTGAGTGTCTTCATCTCTACAGGCTGTATGTGCACTGAGGGTTTCTTATGATAACAATGTGACAGCATCTGTTATCATGTTAGCTCAGGTTGCAGCAGTGCTTCAGTGTCACAGGATCTGAGCGCTTGTATCAACAGTGGGGAAGAACAACAGCTTGTGCTTTCTGAAAAAAGCTATCTGGCTCTTGCTTCTTTTATTGGACTTAGTCTTCTACATGCTCCCTTGGTCTTACTTTGTCAGCATGAAATGTATCTGAGACTGGAACACAATTTGCACCTCAGCTGTCCTTGCCTGGAGGTGAGTGACTTCAATCTGGCTTTTCAGGATTTACTATATGGGTGCTTCACTCCTGAGTGTTTCTGCTTCGTAACAAATGTGACTCAGAAGTAGATTGTGCACCAACAAGTGCAGGCCCTAGGCTTTATCATAGGCCGTTTTGTTCCATCAGCAGTCCTCTGACAGGCTATCTGGTGAGAGATCAGCTCTTTCACGATTGTCCCTGGCCAAAGGAGCTCTCATGCCTTAGAGGACACAGGTTTGGATTTCTTCCCTTCAGCAGGACAAGTCCTCTCCTTGGCTGATATCACCCCGTCTCCGTCAAGAGACACAAGCCAACCTTACCGCTATGGTTTTAGCTGGGATAGTTAATTTTTTCACAGAGGTTCATGTTATGGTATGCACAGGATTTTTGTGAAAATGATTTCCTCCCAGATTAATCAAGAACCTTGAAGACATCACCGATACTGCTGTTGTCCTCTCCATTCCTGTGCTAACACGGGAGCAAAGAGGTATCACACATCAGGGGTGCATCATGATGAAAGAGCGCAGAGAGGGCCCTGAATGAAGAGGAAAATGAGGAAGAACGTTCTGGAGGAAGTCAAAGTCTCCCAGTGTTACCATAATCATTTCTTATTCCTGATGTGTTTTGTGTCACCGTCAGCAGCATCACATAGGAAAAAAGAATAGGCAGTGAGGTTTCATTTGTCCCTCAGACTTGAGAGGAGTTCCTGAAACTGTGTACAAGACTGGAAAGTGTTTCTGTACATTCACATGGCACTAACGCTGGTCTTCCATTTTTTGGGATGGAACCCAGTACTCTCAGGTTCCCAGTGGGAAGGACCATGGCGAACCATTTTCTATTTTTTGTTTGTTTGTCAATCAGTCCCAAGGATCACAGAACTAAATAAAGCTGACATTTATTTCAATCCAGAAGAGCTCCCCAGGCTGATACCATCCATCATTGCTGCTGTTCCCATAGGAAGAACTGATTGACTGCCTCCTAACACAGATTCAGGGTGGCAGATTTTGATAAAGTGGCTGTTCACTTGCTATCAAGCAATCAAGGCAAATGTTCTGTGTGCCCAGGCTTCATATGCTCTCTTTCCTGGTAGAATCACAGAATATCCTGTATTGGAAAAGACCCACAAGGATCATCAAGTCCAACTCCTGGCTCCACAAAGGACCACCCAGAAATCAAACCATATGTCTGAGAGCGTTGTCCAAATACTTTACCTGTTGCTGGTGCAACATGGGGACAGGATGGTCCACATATCTCTTGGAGATAGAAGAATGAGCTTCTCCAGCTGCTCCACCCACATGGAGTCCATCCCGGCTCATTCGTTCCAGGCTCCCACCACGCCTTTCCTGAGGAAAGAAAGATTCCAAAAGTGAGGTCAGGTTTTGCTTCCCACCACGATCCTGACTGAAGCTTAGCAATCATTACCCATGGATTATTATCACTACCCTTTATGTTGGAGGATCTTCCAGAGATAGGCTCCTCTGAACGGAAGGAGAAATCAAGACTCCTGGATTGTAGATCTTTGTCATAGCTGTTACCATTTGAAAAGTGGGTGGTAATGGGTGATGCTGGCCTGAAAATGTGGTCCCTTACATGAGGTTTGGCAAAAGAAGCAAACTCTTTTTAGAAATAATGCCCTCAGACTTCATTTGTCTCTGCACTGAAATCCGTATATTGCTATCATTTTATCATATGGCTGTAGCAGCTAAAAATTCTAACTGTGAACTGAAACCCTACTGTGCTGAGTGCTAAACATACCCTGCTGAGCCCATCACCATAACAAATGCACAGAGCCTTTGCCAAAGCAAACTTGACTCCTGTTTTTTATTTGCCTGTCTGCATCTTGTAGCAAATGCCTTTCCCTTCCTGCTCACAGTCAGCTCAAACAGGTTATTTTATTGGTAATCTTGCATACAAGTCTTCCTTTCTCCTTCCCCAGACTATTCTTTGCTGTGCTCTCTCTCTCACAGGTCCCAGAGTCTCTATTTTATATCCCACTAATGCATTTTTAAAGTGCTGAATAAGTGAACTAAAAGGAGACAACAACACAAGTCCCCTCTTCAGACTAAAATATAAATCCTCTCTTTTTCAGAGCCAGCAAGAAACGTGCAGCCACGTGCAGCCTATAAAACTGCTGTGGTGAGCAGGTCCTGTACTTCCTGCTCACCTCCGTCTGCACATCCTGGTAATTTAACACCAGAATCCGTTTCCCAGTAGGGTTGGACCTTGGTTATTGCAGTGACCGGGCATGATCACTCCCAGTATTGTGTGTGCAGTGCAGAGCAACCGCTGCTATGGCGTTTGCTTGTCCTCCTGGCACAAAACCAGGCATTCATTGGGCCGGGATTTCCCTGCTTTCTTATCTTCTCATCTACTACATCTTTCCTGAGCACATACCTTGTTCCCACATCTGCTGTGCTCTCCTCAGCAGTGCTTTTCAGCCCTTACTAGCCACTAGCCTCCACACCCTTAATTTTGTTCACTGAGTAACAGAAAATACATGATTCTTCTGAACAAACTTTGCACTGTAATAACAGCTGCAATCTGAGTGTATTCAAGGACAAAAGGACATCAGATTCAAATTCTCCTCAGACAACCTAACAGTAAACTTTGTACGAGCCCTTATGAAAAGAGCTAGGCATTTCATACGGTAGAACCTGCCTCCCTTGCTTGTGCAAGGCATCTTAGAATTTCATCTCCAGAGCCTCAGAACAACTTTAGCAGAACTCCTCTATGTGGATTTGAGCCCTTTCTGTTAATATCCAAAACAAAATCTGAAAATTCTGCTCAATTACATAACCACATGCACTACTGAATCAACTAAAAATCTGTGTTGCAGCATCCACCAGCACAGTGTTGTGGTTAGTTTTCCAAGGGCAGACCCTCTCTCACACTTTCTGCAAGACATTCCTGTGGGCCAAATTCCTTCAATAGAAGGGTTTCTTACTCAATAACTCCTGAGGAGAGCTTGTGCTTACCTTCTCTTCTCGGCTGTCGTCCCTCAGGAAAATCTGCTTCTGCCTGGAGATAGTACTTGTCCTGTAGTAGTCTACCAGCTTGTTCAGTGAGTAGAATTTCTCTGTCCACAAGTAATAGTTTCCCTTTGAGTCCCTCATCACTTTGAAGTGTTGTACATCATCTTCATGCCTGAATCCAATTTAGAAAGTAAGAGATTAACTGGACTGCACTGTCATCTTCCTTGAAAAAGAAGGGAATCAGAATAGATCTTTCTGCCACTTGGCCAAACTGAGACTTCTGGAAAGTAAAGCAATGTCAGCTTTTGTATGCACTGGACCTAGAGGTGGTTTTGTATTTCAAAAGACATATTAACTGACAAACATAGAACGCTGAAGGGCTGCTCAGTCACAGAGTACTGTCGGAGTGAGGCATGGGGCTGTAAAGCCTGTTCTCTGAAGGAAAGGCTTTCAGAGCCCAAAATATCCAATAGCTATTATGTACTTTGTATAATACTCAAACGTGCAGTTGTGATCTACCCCCTGACCTCTTCAGGTTCCTGTTAACACCAGACTGAATTGACTATGAGATGTATTATACCCTTCTGCACCATGGACATCACCACTTTGTGAAGACATAGTCGCAAGACATAGTCACACATTATAACTGCACAATATCTAGTGTAATATCATGTCTGCTGGTCTGTCTCCCTACCAAAAAGTAAGAAAACAAAAAATTATTAGTTGCTATTACAAGAAAAAATTACCAGTCTCACCTCCTGCCCTGCTCTGCCATGCAGCTCTCCTTCCCTTACCACTTAACTGATTTGGACAATTCCTCTTTGGACCACATGTGATCTGGTGATCTGGTTTTGGTTCTCACTGCCTTTGTGCAACTCCAAAAACTCAAGGCACTGGTTTCAAAGGCTACATCTATACAAATAATCTAAACAGGGACTAGACAGAGACTGGAGTCTATCTTGTAGTGCTACAGTTACATGACTGCTAATGTTATTGCATGGTTTTAGCCTAAACCAAAAAAGTCTCCCAGATAGTGCAGCGTGGTGGCTATGGGTGCAGCATGGGCCAGGAACCATTGCCAGTGAACTTCTTGAATACAGCTATTCTGTCCTGTGAGGTGAAGAGAATTTAGCCATGTGGGTCTGAACTGTGCTGCACTGTTCGACCTTTGGGCCAGAGAAAGTGCCTGACAGTGCTCAGATCATTGATGTACAGGTAGCCATGGTCTCTTGAACTGGGACACAGAAAGAGGGGTCCACAGTGAACTAAGTGATCCTGGCAACATGTTTTCCTGCATCCCCCCCAGATACTTTTTGAGCTTCTTGAAGCAGAAAGTTCACTATGCTTGGGAAAGGTAGTGCTAATCAGTACTTTAGTTTATAACTGATTATTGACTGAATATTGATTAATTGAAAATCTGGAAACTGACCAGCATTTAACAGCTCTGCTTTGAAGCAATGAGAAGGGCCGAGGTACAATAAGTGGATGTAAAGCAGCTGGGCTACTAGCAACTAAAAGCCAATTCTATCCAATTGACCGGTGGGAAATAAGTTAATAATGTAACAGTCTTGTCTTAATGGGTAGTATGGAATTCTTGGATATAGTAACTGAAGCTGCCAAATAATACAAATGGAAGGCACATGTTTTGCACTGCGGGAGATGTCCCGTGTACCACTCCGCTTTGCTGCAGTTCTTTCAGAGTAGCAGATCTCCAGGGAATGCAGCTTTGGAATGGGACATTCGCTGTATCACTAGAAAGGAGACTGAAACATTGGGGAATCGGGTGCCTAACTCATTCTCATTCATGTGACACAGAGGCACTGCCTGGCTGGAGGCATTCAAACTTCTTGAGAGGCAAGGTCCCATTAGGATTCCTGTCAAGAAGGAGCTAGGGAGATCATTAACCAGAAAGATGCAGAAAAGTGTTGTGAGAAGCAGATACCTGACAGAGATGGAGAAGTCACCGTGAGAGTTCTGACTGGCTCGGACAATGAAAGAACCAACTCCTTTGCTCATGAGGATGCTCTCAGCTTCGTGGCGGGATATCTTCTCATCAAACCAGCTGTCAAGTGGGAGAAGTCATGGAAACGTGAATAAAGGTGTGAATGAAGATAAGGAACAGAAAAGTTCAGGGTGAGGAGACTATGAATAAATAGGATGGTGCAAAGACAAAAGAAAGGAATCAGAGGATCCCACATCCCACAGACACGCTAAGATACAAGGTCTTGATGGGTGTGAACCATTTGCTTTGAGCAGTAAAAGCACTTAGATGCAAAGAGGCCAAAGTAAGCTTTGGCCTGCTAAGCAACACTCAGCTAAAAGTTTAATTACAGGCACAGTGCAGTAAGGTGTTACTCAAAGAGATTTTAAATTAGAAAGGTATATATATATTTATATATATATATATATATATATATATGCACATACATATGCACGTACATATGCACGCACAATTCTCAGACATACATCAAATTGCTCTTGGAAAACTGATTGAAAATTACTGGAGTGCGATGGATATATTGTGAGGAACAAACATAAATTTTTAACAGAAGCAAGGCATGAAAGTTTCAGTGCTAATAAATTGGCTTCTGCAAGACTTATAACACCACAAAATCTCAGAACCACAGAATTCATAACTACACTCATGTAAATGTAGCCAGTAGTATAAGGCACTGGACAAATAATGAGAAAAGTCACCATAAAATAGTAGAATAATGCTGTGTCCATAGGGATTTTTAAGTAGAGAGAAAAAACATAGTGTATACTTCTTACGTCTGCAGGTAATAAGATCTGAAATCTGCAGCTTCATTAGCTGTTTTGCATTAAAATCAAGGACTGATAGTTTTGCAAGCTCTATAGCTTCATCTTTTCAGTTCTGTTATTCTTCTCGTCACCACCGTCGTGGTTTACCTATGTATCATCAACAGTCAATGGGAAATCAGAATTTAATCAGCAGTGATATGAAGTCTCGCTGCTTACTGGCAATACACAGTTGGAAAAAATGGTCCACCAAAAAAAAAAGAAATGACTTTCCTCCCTATATCTGGCTCTAGCACTTGCCACGAGCTGTTTCCAAGTGCAGATGTCCTGCTCTTAGAGAAGTGTCAAAGTAGAAATGTTTCTTCACAGCTCCTTTCGCACGGAGAAAACATCATGAGGAAAATGTGTGTGAAAATAAGAAGCTGCCCACATTTCCCTGTGGGATGCCACAGCCCTGCGAAAGAGCGAACAAGCACAATGCACTGGAAGATCCTGGCCCCTTGAGGCCTCAATGCAACAGCCCATCTTTGCAGAGCAAACTAAGTTCTTTGGCTCAGCTGAGCAGACGGGCTCACGTCCAAAGAAACCAGCAATCCCACCTCCAAAGGGAGCAGTGGTGCTTACATGTAGGGCACAACGGCATTTGCCTGTTGAGGGCACCGGCACGTCAGAGCCAACAGAACTGGGTTTGAGATGTGCTCTGCCCACGTCCTCTAAAATGCTGCTGTGCTCATTTTGAAAGAGGACAATTTTAGGATCGTAGAATAGAATCAGAATCAGTGAGGTTGGAAAAGACCTCTAAGATCACCCAGTCCAACCATCAGCCCATCCCACTGACCATATCCCTCAGTGCCACATCTGCGCAGTTCTTTGAGGGGCTTCAGGGAGTATTTCTGCCAACTGCAAGGAGAAAGGCTATCAAACTGCAGTCTATTGGCATTTTTATGGCACAGGTCTGGGCAGCATGCTTAGCAAGCATTTCAACACCTCTCAGTGCTTTCTCAAAGTGCCATCTTCCCAGTAAGGAGACAGAGTGAGGCACGCCTGCCCTGTGACAGATCTGTGTTTGGGTGCGCAGACACAAAGCGTGGAGAGGGATGTGTGTTTGCGCCTGCACGCGTGTGGGAGCCGGGTGGCACGGCTGGTCTATCATCTCTGTCAATCCACGAGCTGTCACACTTGGTGCGGCGTTGCACTGACCTCTAGTGTACCGAGAGGAGCTCGCACACGTCGCAGGGGGAGGGAATGCGGATGACAGGGTGGGGAAACGAGAGAGAATGCGGTGAAAGAGTTGGGAGGAGGGAATTACGCTTTTATAGCTCATTTACAGAGAGTTCTTGCTCTTCCTTTTGTGCCCAGCCTCTGCCTCGGTCGCCAAGACTTCACATCGTGACTATTCTCGTTCTGTCCAAGGAGAGCTCCATGCAGCTCCTGCCGCATCCCAGTGGCATCCCTACGAGCAGCAGTAACAAAGGAGTCACTCGAGAGCGATAAAGAGAACTGTTCGGTTCTGAAAGAACAGAGGATGCTCCAGGGTAGGATGAAGGTGCGCTGGCAGAACTGTGCGTGGCTTCATGCCAGCCTCAAACTGTGATGGGCTGATGGCTGGACCAGATGATCTTAGTGGTCTTTTCCAACCTGAATGCTCCTATGATTGTGTGTTATAACCAGTGCTTCCTCTGTCATGCCTGCCTTGACTATCCTTTAGAAATGTGCAATGCTGGTGCATGCATTTCCCATGACACTTACGGGGGAACTTGGAAATCAATGAAGTTCTTAGGAACATAGCCCTCTTGGCTTCGGAGTTCAGCTTTGTACCACTCTTCCTGGGAGCTCAAAACCTGCAATGGAGAGACAGATTGAATAAACATGTCTCCTGAGAAAGGCAAAACTCACTAAGACACTGACTGAAAACCAGAATTTTGTGTAAAAATGAAAGAGAATTCCTCATATACTTCTTACCCACCTTAAAGCAGAATTACTGGCTGATGGCCACTTCAGTGCAAAGAAAACAATGAAGAAGGCCAAGTGGCATTAGACTGATTGCTTGTTAACTTTATCCCTTCCTCTGAATGCCTCTCCAAGTGGCAGGGGATGCAGTCTGCATATCTCTGATGTCTGTGAGATGAGGGAAACCAGCTTGGAGGGACTTAATGGGGGTTTAAGGAGTTCTCTGTGCTGCTTTTAATAGTGCTGGATCATCTCAGATTCACAGGGAAAAGAAAAATCAGTGAAAACTTCTCTGACATGTATGGAGGGTTATAAAGCTGCACCTGTGTGTGTGTGTTATGGCTGCACAGAAGTCATCCTATTCTCTCAACACACCATTCTGCACGAGAGTACTTAATAGAATCATTTGAATTGAAAGGAACTCTTAAAGACCATCCGGTCCAACTCCTCTGCAATGAACAGGGACACTTACAGCTAGAGCAGTTCAGAGCCTGGTTCAGCTTAACCTTGAATATTACCAGATGCATCCATCAACTCTCTGGACTATTTAGTGGGCTATTTAGTAGCCTAATTATTTAGTGGGCTATTTAGTGGGCTAAGTTTTCAGCGGCCGTGAGCTTTGCCAGGGTAGATAAAAGGAGGCAGAAAGCATTGTAAAGCAACTCCCACAATTCCAATATTTAGGGCAGCAGGAAGCCAGCCTACAGAGCACATGGAGAAGCTTCAAGACTGTTCACATTAATGCTGACCATAAAGGTCCATAGGGAGTGCACTGCTGACCACAGACTGCCCAAATTCACTGCTCCCTTGTGGATGGTCTCTGGTGCAGACCTCAGCTAGCAGGAAGACGACAGAGACACAGCAAGTTTGTGGCTTTCCTGCAAACACTGCGGTCTTTGGTGTTCTGTTTGACATTCCAATTCATGGGACAGAATTCCTTTTTATAAAGTAGAACATGTTTCTGCTCATTCTGGTTTTGGAGGGGTGCCTGAGAGGATGTATCCTGACAGTTTTAAAAGGAGAAAACAAGTGGAAAAGACTTTATTTGAAATCTATTGTTTAACAATAATAATACTTGTTCTATAAGCCAATCCCATGTTTCTGGGAGGCTAACATTCTAACTGCTTGGTGCTGGCAACAGGATGCTACTGTCTTTGGGGCTGATTCTCCATTGCCTTGCCTGCCACATATGTCTCTTCCACGCATTTGGATAAAGAAAGGTTGAGAATAGAAAGCCATGGAGATCCCTTCTTGTCCTGTTACTGCTTTCCCACCCCTGGGTTCAGGATTAAGGTTCTCTTTTTTTGCTGCTGTGGCCAACCAAAGGGAATGACAGCCACACACCACACCCTGCTCAAGTCCTGTTGGCAGCAATGTTTCTAGGACGACATACCTCCTGGTCCTTAGTGCACAACTGTCAGGTTTCTGTGTGTCATCCTCTCAGAGAAGGATGTGGGATGTGTGTGTGTGAGAGAGAGGGTAGATTTCCTCCTGTCACTGGTGGTTGAGGGCCTCGTGTTTCCTGTTTTCTAGTCTCTGCATCAATACTGTTCATTTTATCTTCTTCATAAATCAGAGCAGACAGCCAGCAGGTTGAGCAGGCAGCAGAAGGGGGCTCGGGATGGGGTATGAATGTATGTGTGTGTTTGCCAGATGGAGAGGCACTGCTCAGGTTATTTTACTGCTGCTAGGTCTTGGGCAGTGTGAGTTTGTTCACCTGAAGGACCTTAAAGCAATAGGCTGTCTGACTTCTGATAGTGAAGTCTTAGTGACTACTAATATTAATACTGATGTGTTTGAACCGTTTTCATCAGCAGCTTTCGATGTAATTTGAAAGGAAGCTCTAGTTTTCTAATGATTGTACAGGAAGGGAAACTAACAGAAGGAAAGGTGACCTGGCCAATGCCATCACTGTAGCCAGGGCTTTAATGAAACCACAGTCTCCTGAGGAAGCAGATATCAGGTAAAGATCAGGGGATGGTAGGGCTGTGAGGACTACTCTGAAATTGAAGGAAGAATTAGGAATGGGAGTGTTCATCAATCCTTCACATATCACTGGGGGAAAAAAAAAAAAAGTCTTTGATCTTAATGAATTCTGGATGCCATTAGCTTTGTTTAAGCTTTAAGGATTAAAAGGGCAATAAAATAAGAAATGGTGCTGATGGAAGAGGCAGAGCCAAGACATAATATCTGGTCATTAAATGGAACAGCTGGGTCTGTACAGGGAGGTGGTGAAGGTTTCTTGGTAGAACAAGATTTTATATCTCATTATTTTGCAATATCCCTTTGGCTAGTGGAGGAGTTAAGGCCTTAGAGAAATGTTTTGCCCAGTCATTTTCAACCGAAGCAGAACAACTATGTTGTGGGTTGAAAAGTGGGCAAATAATTTGGGTGGAGCAGAGTGTGGCTTCATCTTTGACACTTCAGTAGGGTTAACAAACTGTTTTACTGTAGCACATGCACATCAACATTCAAGAGACTCTCTTATACTCTGGATTTCTTATGATAACTTCTGCCATTTTGCTATTCTTCCACTGCTCAGTTCCTGCGGGAGTTTGTGTAACATTACTAGCTGAGGACCTCTTAAATTTTTCTATTATGTGTGTAACAGACTGTTTCATGGACATTTCCTCTTCCATTTGCAACTGCCTAAAGCCCCTGAGGCAACTAACAGTAATTACTTATGGTGAAAAGTTAGATGTAAGTTCTACAATGCATGTTAGCCATCATTTTAACAGTTTAAGAGTTGGAAACGAGGAATACAGCAAACTCTCTGGCTCGTATTCATCCTGCTTGCCTTCAGACACAGTCATCCTAAAAACAGTCACTCTAGACTACGTCCATATTCAATGAAAACAGACAGGATCTTCAAAAACTGTTCTAACAAAGAACTGGATCTCTTCCACTGCAAAGATGATTATACTTCCCCATTGATTACTAGAGGACTACAGGACAACTACATGCATAGTTTAGGGACCAAGTAGAGTCAAGTAGAGTGGACCCAGTGGAGGTTGCTGGTTGACCTATGGGAATCTAATATCCTGCATTCCTATCCCAGTTCATAGACATTAGCATTCATATGCTTTGCCAAGGCAGAAAGCCTTGGCAGAATATCAGCACTGATCTTTAGTCATTCATAGAGCCACACTTACCTTCAGGATATCCCCAGCTTGGAAACTCAGCTCATCCTCTCCAGAAGCAGTGAAATCAAACTTGGCGATGGCTTCCATACTGTATTGGTGGCAGAGCAGAGCTGAAAGAAGTGTATGCAGGTCAGTATCTAAACGCTCCTCAGACTGCTGAGTCTAGCTTGCAGAAAGCTTATAAGCAGTGCTGTGATTTGCACATAGATGAGCGTGCACCTACCATTAGTTGACGTTAGTTACTAGATACTGAAGGACATTAGCAGGCAGAAGAGATAGCATGGCCAAGAAGCTGTAAGTCTCTCAAGAAATTAAAAAAATCCAGTGTATCAGCTCATTCCAACAAATCTTTTTCACTGCAGCAATTTCATGGAAAAGTTTGCACACATCCCCAAAGAAGCTGGTAGCAGGAAAAAACCTTCTTCTGTGTAGACCAAGGACCTGAAGCAGTTCTGTTAATCAAATGATTCTATCATGCAATAGAATAATGTGGTTGCCCTCTGCAATCACTTACTCTTTATCTCAAGAGGGAGGCAAATTGTGGACAAAAAGAAGAGCTTGCAATAAATATTTTTTTTTCTTGGACAGGGGCCACAATTCTGAAGGTTGAAAGAGACTTTTCTCTGTGATGGCTTTGCATGGGTAACCACAGCATATAGCTAGGAAAAACTGTTTGCAGAAAGATTGTCATCCCTGTTTTGAAGCTGGCGGAGTGTGAAACTGTAGCACTGACAAATTTAAGGCACGCACTTACCCTTCCTCTGTGTTCATAACTCAGGAGCCTGAAATGTACCAGACAGCCTGCAAACCAAAGCCTGCTTTTCATCAGCAGAGCACATGTGGCACGGGAAGTCACAACATGAACTTCGCTTCTTCACCACTTCCTGCACATGCAACTCAGATGTACCCCAGCAGGACCACTTCTATGATCAAGGGAGTTACTCGTTTCCCATGGCTGGCTCGTGCTCCCTGCAGCCCAGCAGCGAGGCTGCCAGTGTCAAGACAAAGAGTGAGGCAGTGCCACATTAAGCAAAGGCACTGCTGTGAGATGTTCCAACAGCCCAGCTTGTGAAGACCATCACACAGCTCCAGTACAGAAGTAACTTCAGTGGTTACTAAACTAGGTTCATCTGGAAACTATGATCCTGAAGTCAAAGGCTTCACCTAGCTTCACTTCCCACAGAATCTCCCAGACTGTAAGACTAGAGAAGTGCCAACTTGCCTGATCCAAAATATTTTTAACCAGAAAACCCAAAAAAGAAACAGTACCAACAACTCAAGTTCGGGAACTATTTCTTGAGTGTCCTGTTACAACTGAGATGAGATCCCCCCAAAACAATGTGATGAGTGAGCTCCAAAATTCTGTCACTTTTAAATTAATGGGCTACTGTAACCCCTGCTGTAAGCTTGCCTTTGACACACAATCCAGGGATTTAACTGCCTGTGTACCAGTAATCCAGGCACAACTGTGTTACTGACTCAAACTACTTAATAAGATCTAGGAGAAAATACTTAGAAAGATTGGAAGGGCAAAAACTGCAGATAGAGCCATGGAGATGGCACCAACAGTAAATAGTTCAAGGATTCAAAAGGAAAAACATCATTCTGGAATGACAATTTCAGAGGAAAAACAACAATGGGAGATTTGGTCAGGACAGTCAGTCCAATTGGGGACCAGCCACAAGTCTTTGAGGTCACTGAATTATCAGTGCCACCGCTGCTGACTGAGCTGTTGGTAGGTGGCAATGGAACAACACCAAGGTTTGGTCCCAGGGAGCAACTGGGAGCAGCTCTTCACCTGAGCAATGTCTGCCTTGCCAGCAAAAAACCCGTCCTACATCTCATTTCTAACTACAAGGAAGATCTTCACTTGCTTTCTCTTGGATTCTGTTCACACTCTCGTTTCACGCTGCATATTGTAGTTGAATCGGTATTCATAGGACTGAGGTGAGCTATGCAGCACCAGGGCAGATTGATCAGCAGTCCACAGGCAGCTCTGCCTGTTGAGCATCCATCAACTTGTCCTACAGCAGTGGGACTTGTTATGTGCTGGGACTCACGGGTAGCATGACACATAGCCCTTGCGACTTGCCACACGCCTGCTATTCCAACCCAGAGCCCCAAGGTTTTGCCCAATACATCCATACCTACCTGTAACAGACCATGTTTTACCAATATACCTTATTCTCATTCTCGAGCAGCTTCTAGCCCTTTTCACTGAGTTTTCTCTCCATCCACTTACTGATGCTCTTTAATTCTTACTCATTTGCTCTGTGTGTGTCAGAGCTGCAAATATAGCTTAAGCTTGCTGTCTAATTGTCCGTCTTTTATTCCAAGTGCAGCTCTGTGAGTACAACTCAGACTTGATCTGAAGACTGCCCTCTGTTCTTGCACTGACATTCTTTGCACTCCTGTTTGTATCTTCCCACAACCATGCTTGCTGATAGAGAGTAAGGGTATCAAATAAGAGAGGAATTAACCATTTGGAGAACTAGATAAACAATAATACACTTTCACGGTAGAGAACCAGAGAAAAAAGACCAAGGAAAATTACTTTAGTAAGGGATGTATTTCTGTATTTTATCTTATTGTGGTGGGGGTCAGAGCTGATAGTGCAAATGAATCCTGGAACTCCTAATGCAGAACATTAATCCCATCTCAAAGAAAAAAAAAAAAAGAAAAAGAAAAAACAACAACAAAACACACAAAAAAAGAAATCAAAGAGAACAAATGGAAAAAACCCCAACCCCAAACCAGTTCAAAACAATAAACTGTATAAATACAAATCCTATCTTTGATTTTTGCTCCTCAATCACAGGACAGGCAGCAGGGCTTCTCTCCGCAGGGAGCAGGAAGGGGAAGAGCCTTTCATTTCACAGTCTCCCAGGTGCTAAAGATGCCACTGGAGACGTGACCCTCTCAAGAGGGGAAGTGTTTGTGAAACGGTTAAAATCTCCTCTCTCACCTCATTTTCAATTTCAGCAATCACAACCATGGGGAGAGACCAGGAGACAGATACCTCTTCAAACAATCTAACACATGGATTAAATGTGCTTTTCATTGCCAGCGGCTGGATTTAGAAGCGACTCAAATACCATGCACAGTGTTGGCTGTGTTGATAAATCAGCAATGCTATGGCCTTAAGCTCTTTCCCCACCAACTACTAAAGCAGCACTAGCCCGTAATCCTGTCTTTGAACGGCAGCCTACCACTTTTCATCACCTGAACTTCAAACCAGCTCTGTTTTTCTGATCCCATTCCTCCCTCCATCTGTAACTCGAGGATGTGCGGGTCAGTGCTGGGCCCTTGTGAAAACTGCCCTCCAAAGGGGATGTGAAAACATCCCTCTCTGCATGTGTGTGACTTTGAGCACCACCCCATGACACACCGAGATGGGATTTTTGGGGGCAATTGTCAGAACTCCATTTCTCAAGAGCCTTTTATCCCAAAGGACAGCACTGCAGTTTGCAGGCAGTCAGATTCTGCTTTTAACTGCCTGGTGCAACTCCTTTAAGCTTTCAAGTAACCAAAGACAATTTTAGACTGTGCATAATATTCTAAGGGAACAAAAAAAATCACCTTTGTGCAGGGTTTAGCATGAAGCCTCTGCGACGTTTAAAGGAGGATTTGTCAGTTCCAAGTATAGGCTGACGAGTACCTCCATTTTGTGCTGGTTCTCTGCATGGAGGTGAATTTTCTCTGTGGTTCCCCACTGCAATGAGGCAGATCCAAGGGGCACAGGGCTACTGCCGTTCTGTGGGACTGACACTGCAGAAGGTTCATCGAGAGAGAAGAGAAAAGCAGCCCAGCTTTGAGAGCATGAGGCAGGTCTTTCAGTTTGGCAGAATGCCATTCCCTGAGCAAGAACATCAGCCTCTCTCTGTTGATCAAAAGAGCTGAGACCTAAATCATGTCAGCAAGCAGCATAATCTGACAGCAGCATCCCAAAGAGTTTAACATTGTTCCACTACACCAAGTTGGATCAAAATTCAGTAATAACAATGCCAGGGAAGGTTACCTCCTATGAAGTTTATCACTCTGGGATGGCTCAGGTTCACCCCTACTCAATCTCACATATTAACATCACAGAAGAAAGCACAGCGGCCTACAAAGTGGCTGCTTAAAGCAGCCCTATGAACAGAATCCTGATCTCCCTGCCTGCAGCACGCATATCTCCAGCAGGCAGCTCCATCCAGCAAGGTGTCGTGCTGACAGACACAGCGCGAGCTGCTGCATCTTTGTTCCTCTCTGCAAGAACAACCTATCAGACTGATGAGCAACCAGGGACGGGATTCAACCCCTGAACATCTGTACAGAAACTCCTGATGACATTTCAGCAGAAACAATGGCGGAGGGACCCGTTATCTAGAAGAGCTGTGATAGATAAAGGCTTTGTTGTCACCAGCTAAGCCACATACAAGTGGCATGGGAATATTTCGTTCCAAAAACACAAACCTCTTGCTACTGAGTTAACGGCGCAGCTCCGCTGACTGTCAGTGATAAGAGGGTAAAATTTATAAGGGAGAACAAGCTACTAAAGCACTCAGCATTGTATGTTTCAGTCTTGGCTGCGCTGCCATCCAAAGGAATGCAGGGCTCCGGATTGAGCCCTTGTACAATGCTCTGACAAAATGAACCTCCAAAGAATAGGATCCAGAGAAGGAAAACACTTTTAGGGCTCTACGACCAACAGCAGTCAGTAACCCAAGTGAGGACAGCTCTTGATCACCCTGGGAAGACCGGGGCCTCTTGTGCTGCTCCAAGCACACAGAGCAGAGCAGGGCAGCACCATGAGACGCCATGAACAGGCAGCACCGAAGAGTACCACAACTCTGAACAATGTCGTGAGCGCATAACATCATGAATCTTTGCTGGTGCTGAGGAACTGGGCTGGGGAAAGCATTCTGCCCCACCTCCTCCTGCAGCTCTCAGCTGGTTGGATGTGACCGCAATGCAGGGATTTGTCCCACACAAGCACTGCTCTGGTGTGGAAGCCGCCCAACAAGATGACAGCGATCCCGTCCTTTTCCCCTGCCCTGCAGTCCTTTACCTCTCCCTCCAAGATCCCACCTCCCTCTGTAGAGCTTTTCCCACACAGCTTGGCCCCCCA